TGTTTAAGTTTAAGATTTCTTTCTAGTGATATTTTGTGTGATTTGGGGGAAGGGTAAAGGTTCATTTTTTTCCACATATGAATATCCAGTTGTTCTAACTCCTTTTTTTGAGAAGACTTTCCTTTCTCCACTGAATTACTTTGTCTAAAATAAGCTGAGCATATATGAGCATCACAATTTTTAATCCTATTAGAACTGAATCTTCCCAAGTCAGGTCAGGTCAGGTCCATTACCGACCTCCTTTCCTTAGAGAGCCTACAAGACAGATTAAGCTGACGCTCAGGCGGAGAAAACTATGTCTAATCCCTGTTTTTGTACGTAATACACTGTATGATATTTTCTGCACTGATAGGTTACTTGCTTAACTTTCCTACAAACTCATAAACAATACATTGTGTTTGTGATCGGAGAGGGAACAGGCTTCCTGGATACCATCTTGGTCTCTTGCTGTCTGTGTGAATGTCCATGGACTTCTGCTTCTGTTAGTTTCCTCAGACTGATATTATCAGCTTATAGCTTGAGATTCTAGAGAATGGAGGTCATATCTGTAAATGTTATTTTGATTTGTGAGGCTTCTATCTTAGTGCCCTGAGTGGAATTTAATAGCATTTGAAGTTATAGCAAATTCACCATCCCTCAGTTTCCCTGCCTAAATAACACCAAGAGTGCTCATCTCCATTTAGCTCAATTCAGTTCGGAATCATGGGCTGTTTATGTAATAAAAGGCCATCTGATTGTGGCTGGGAAAGGAGACCTGACACTTTGACCAGGCTGATCTGGCTCTCTTGGAGACTATTGACATAGGACATCTGGAACAGACCGTGGCCCGGTCTTTGTTATTACTTATTGTTCAGATCAATACTGGTCTGAATATTCTTTAACAGAAATTAAAGGAACTCTTTTGTAATCGTCTACAATTCCTGCCTGTAGACCTGGACTATATCTCTTTGTAGTGTTGACGCCCCCAGCCCAGGAGAATTCTGTGTCTTCTCCCTCACTCCCAATATTTCTCTGCAGGTAAATCCTCATCCTAATCAACACCGAGGGCAACCTTGAATGGAAAGTGAAGGGAAGAGATGTCATGAAATGGCAACATGTATCCGAGGTGAGATGAAGGATACGTGAATGTTGTTGACTGACAGCCAGAGGAAGTGGCCCCCTGTTGCCATGGTGAGGGAGGCGTGTTAATGCTAAGTGTATGAGCAGCTCCCATGTTTTTTAAAGATTTTATTTATTCATTTTTTCCCCCCAAAGCCCCAGTAGATAGTTGTATGTCGTAGGTTCACATCCTTCTAGTTGCTGTACGCGGGACTCGGCCTCGGGTTGGACGGAGATGTGGTGCCTCGGGGCGCACCCGGGATCCGAACCCGGGCTGCCAGCATCAGAGCGCGCGCACTTAACCGCCAAGCCACGGAGCCGGCCCTCCCATGTTTTTTAATAGCAGCTGGTCAGTGCCATTGCCTTCCCTGAATTGCTGTCCCCCTGAGTCACTGCTTGGCCCCAGCTGTCTTGATCTTTGTTGACAAATGGTTGTCCTTCACAGTCAAACTACTAACAGTACTCTAATTAATGAATGTGCTAATTATTCTTCCCTACTCCCAGCACATTTGTCTAACTAACCTGTCACACACAGAGAAGTGCCGCGTATGCATAAACACTGAGGGCTCTGGAAGCAGGGGTCTGGGAGGAGAGGGGGTGGGCTCACAGCCTTGTAGCTGTGGGATAGTTCTTGTTAAAATACCTTGACTAACAGTCAGGTGTTTGGGGGAATATGTTATTTCCTGTGAAATGTATATGTTTTCCTTTCTTTTCTTTTAAAAAATCTCTCTTTAGGAGCTAAGGGGTTGTTGCTCATTTCACTAGCCTATAAGGAGCCTGCCAAACATGGGTGCAGAAGGACCGACCAGGGAGTCCCAAGTTTTGAAAACTATTCCACAAGCAGCATTCAGGGTGGTTCAAAACCCAGACAGGCCTGGGTTTGAATCCCACTTCTGCTCCTTACTACATGTGTGACCTTGGCAGGTGGTTTAACCCCTCGGAACCTCAGTTTCATCTTTTGGGCAATGGGAGGAATAGTTTGTCCCCAGAGGGCTGTGTCGAGGAGCAAATGGAAAGCTCTTGGCACAGTGCCTGGCACAAGCTAAGTCCCCAGGACACAGCTGCTCAGTGCTTCTGCGCGGTCTTGGTCTGTTCTGGTTTTGGCTGGGGAGGGCCGGCTGCAGGGCTGCAGACCATCTTGTTAGGAACCCGGAGTCCAGCGCGGGGCCGCTGCACTCCCCTCCCCGGTTCCCTTGGCGCCCGTCGTCTTTTTGTTCTGTCTCAGCAGCTCTCTGAGAGGAATGGCATTTCTAGAGGCTTCACCTCTGATAAGTGTTCCTCTGCAGCCGCAGTCAGAATCCTAATGTGCGCACTGTAATTTAATGGCCGTCTCGGCTGACTATTAAAATACTTTTGCCGGGTGAAGTGGCCTTGCTCCGCCGGCATGTGTGCCCCACCCCGTGGGGCTGACTCCGGGAGCTCAGACGTGGGCGTCCCACCACGGGAGGAGGGGCGCAGTTACCGAGCCTCCTACCGGTGCCGTCTGGTCCTTCTAAAGTGGAAACGGCTTGCCATTTCCCCTCTTCCTCTCCCCCATTTGGGGGGCTCCTGGAGGCTTGGGAAACAAGCAAGAGAGGCTGCCCTTTCGTGGTTTCCTGCGTTCCACGGAGCTGGCAAGATTCCCAAAGGGTTTGTGGGCTGACCGTGTTGGATTCTGTTGGTGCTGTTTTCTGTGTGCCTGCAGATTGTGGCACGTACTTACATGCCATAAACATAAACACTCAAGCAGGAAGGAGATTAAGATGAGCTTTAAAGACATCAGGCTGTAGGATAGAGAATCTTCTTTACAAACTAGACATTTTAATCTGGGATTATAAGCAGCTGCCCTGGTGGTTGGTTCCTGGTCAGGGAACCACACCACCATCTGTCAGTTGTCATACTGTGGTGGCTGTGTGTGGCTGTGATGCTGAAAGGTATGCCACTGGTATTTCAAATACCAGCAGGGTCATCCATGGTGGACAGATTTCAGTGGAGTTTCCAGACTAAGACAGACTAGGAAGAAGGACCTGGCCACCCACCTCCGAAAAATTGGCTGTTAAAACCCTGTGAATAGCAGTGGAGCGTTGTCTGGTAGAGTGCAGGAAGGGAAGAGGATGGCACAGAAAGACCCGGCAGGGCTCCACTCTGCTGTACACAGGGTCGCTAGGAGTCAGGATCGACTTGACGGCACTAACAGCAAAAATAAGTAGTGGACTGTCACAGCATGATAGTAGATATACCTAGCACTCTCCCCATCCCTAATCTTTCTTCAGGGAACAGTCTCCCTCAACCATGTGAGAACTGTGGAAACTACCAGGTTCTGTCATTTTCCTGCCATCTGGTTGTCCTAGAAATGGATGTCTGACCAGCCTGGACCAATGAGGTTGTCCTAAGAGTTTAGCGAGAGAAGTCAGTCCTTTATAGGTGACAAAGGCTGTAAGATGTAAAACTCCAGAGTTGGAGGTGGACATATTTTCCACTGTGTGGAGAAAATTGGTCTGCAGAGAGTTCAAAGCTGACAAGCTAAGAGAAAGTTGAGAAAGAGAGAGACTGAGAGCGAGAACTCCATTTGAGAGTGCTACATTTGAGAGAGAGAGAATTCCCTGGCTCCAAGGCCCAAACTCATCTCTGCTCATTCCAACTTTTAGTTGTTCATTTCCTCGAGTTCTTTGAACCAATAAATTTCCCGTTTTGCCCAAGCTAGTTTGACCTAACTTCCTATTGTTTGCAACTAGACTACTTTTTAAGGGGACCGGCCTTCACTTCTGATGCATTGCCACTAAGAAATGACGAGTATTAGAAGAGCTAACTGTTTATGGACGTCAGACTCCTTGTTTACCGGGACCTCAGCATTCCCTGAGACTTACCAAACTTGTCCGCACAAATGAGATCTCATTAAGGTGAATACACAAATCTTGCTAGTGCTGAGCCCCCAGCCAATCTTGCAATAACTCCACACTTTGCAGAGTGTCTCAGGGACTGAGAGAGCATCAGGAGTGCCACGACCAGCCTGGACTGCCCTCGTTTTGGGCCTCTGCAATCCAAGCTCCTCCAGGGACCTCTTTCTGAGCTGAACCAAGGCCTCTCAAGCTGGCCTCTGCTGCTCTGAGGTATAAGGCTTGCTCTCTTCCCTGCATGCTGTCCTCCTCCACACTGAGACACAGTTCCCCCCGCCACCAAGTATAGTGGCCAATGTTTTCTTTCAAAATGAGGCTTTGAGAAAAGCTCCTCTTAATCACTGCCAAATAGTTGTTAGTCTGGGATGAAGATGCAGGAATCTTGCATTTTTTGTGTAACTTCCAAGGGATTCCCATTTACACATAGAAAGCTGTCCTGTAGAATGCCAGGCGACCGCCTACCACACCCAGCAGGTCCACTCTTACACCCTCTCTCTCCTCTTGTCGTATTGAGAAGACTCCAGGGAAGGTGTCTCAACAATGACCTCAGAGAAGCCAGTTGCAGTGTTTAATAATCCATCCTATTTGGAAGTTTTCCTTCGGGGTCATCTGTAACACCATTTTCTGCCCCTTATCTAAATTCTTTGGTTTAGTTTTAATTCTCTTGTTGCTTTTTTTCCTGTAGAAATGGATACATCAGTTGTCCTCCCTCATTGTCATTCATCCAGATTTCTTAGTCATTCATTCATTCAGGCTGCCGTTCTGGACCCTACCGCGTGTTAAGTATTCATTTTCCCCCCAGAAATTCAAGGAAAGAAAGACAGTACTCGGATACAGATCTTTTTGGTGCTCTACAAATAAAAAAGTTTCATCTTTTCTTCCTTTCCTGCTCCTCTCCTGAGCCCTGCTTCTCCTGGCAGGTTGCACTGAAGGACCTTTGGTGGCTAGTTAAAAAAAAAAAGAAGACGACGCACTGTGTAATTGCGCTGGGCCCTTCAGAAATTCTAATGAAGAAAGAGAGAGGCAGGCCCTCACTTCCCCTTCCTGCACAGTGCGCGCCTGGGGTGCCACGGAGCTGGAGCAGTCCTCGCTGTGGGCAGCCTGCAGCAGACATGGATCAAGAAGCCGTGGGCAATGTTGTCCTGCTGGCCATCGTCACCCTCATCAGCGTGGTCCAGAATGGTAAGGGAAGCCCCTCACTCAAGGGAGAACACAGGATAGACTTTGTTTGCTAGTTTAAAAGTCGGGCTTCCACAGGTCTGTGTGTGTGCACACACTTTTGCCTTATCTATATTTGTTTCTTTTTATTTGAATGTATAGGGTGTGTGCATTTCTCCATGAATTTGGAATTTTCCCTCACCTGGTCTGTCTTTCCCTTGAATGGTGATGACTAATTCCCCTTGAAGAGCCAAGCAGCAACCTGGGGCCTTTACAGAAGCCCTCACTGTGGTGTCTGCAATCAGCATTTACTGTGGCCAGAAATGGGGTGGAAGGCAAGAAGCCTAGAAAGGGAAAATGAGATCTGTGTTCACTCAGACACTGGGCTTTACCAAGGGCAGCGGGGCTGACTCCAGTGCTGCTGAGGTGGCCTGTCACTGGGAGGCTGAAAAAAAAGTGAATTTGGAGGGTTTGAGGGGGAAATCACCTTATCATTGTTTTCCTTCTGTATTTCCTTTTTTTCTTTTGAAGAAACATGTTCTTTGTAATACTTTGTTTTTCTCTAGCACTGTATAATTTTTGAAGCATTTTTCATATGCTTTACATACTTACATAAAGAGAGAGAGAGGGACAATCTCCTTTGGGATTTGCATTTCCATGAACCCTGCTGTCACTTAAGAAACCAAGCAAGGTAGCCAGACCTGAAAAAGGCAGGGTGTGAAAAGTTCTTTAAAGTTCTGAGTTAGGACTGCCATAGATCCTTTTTTTGAGTCTTTCCAGTGGCTTTATATTTTGCAGTTTATTAAGACAGAGAAAAAAGGAGAGTTATTGCTAAGGGCAGCTCTAGAACTTAATGGTAATTACTGAATGTTTACACACTGTCACACTTTGGAAATTTGAGTGTTTAATCAATTTGGAATATTCTGATATTTTGCTGCAACTTGACTGTGGACAGAGGCTGGTGATTGGCCTTCTGGGCACAGAGCGAAGCTCCCCCTAGCCTCCCCACACCAGAGAGGCCCGACTTTACATGCTCTGAGTAGGTTTCCTACATGGAACAATACTTTGCAGCTTTCTGACCCAGACATTTTCATACTAAATCACACACAATAAAGTGCAGCTCGGAGAGAAAACAAGTGGATTATTTGGGCTGCCATTTCCTCAAGCCAGTGCTATTTCATGCAGGCACCAGGCCTGGGCTCCCTTGGTCTTGTAAATCAGCAAGGAATTCGTTCATTCAACCTGCATACACCTGCAGGGACCCCACTGTAGGCCAGGCAGTATCCTGGGTACATGGGGATGTAGCAATGAACAAGACAGCTATGGTCTGGGCCTCCCAGGAAAGTCAGGCGTAGTGGGAAAGAATGGGCAGGCAAGGTAAGCAGGAAGCCTGCAAGGAGCCCTTGGTCCTTGTGGAAGGAGGTGCATGGGTGAGCGGGCAGTGCTGGTTCGGTTCTGTGCAGGCCTCCCCTCCCACCCTTCCCTTATACCCATCAAAATAAGTGATGAGTGTCAGTTGATGGGCACCCGGTGCCCTCTCACCCCCTGAACCTATGGGGTGAGCTCAGCTGGGAGGTTCGCGTTCATGCTGAGCTGCTCCCTCTCAGATCAGAGCTGAGGCGGGAGGCTGCAGAGTCTCCTATTGTGAGATCAGTCTCTTCATCTCTCCTAACTAAGATGCACAGGACTTGGCCCTGGTCTCTTGAGTGGGTGCTGGGCTTTTCCTCGGTGGCATAGCAAACCCTGAGCAGACTTGAGGTGGATGGTGAGATTTCAAATTATTTTCGGCAGGTGGGATGAAGTCTTCTTCTCTGGTACAAGGCGGGGAGGAGAGATTACAGCTGGCCGAATGTCTGAGTCTTAACCACATCTAAAGGCCTTGACTTTTGATAGGCCGTTGAAGATAGATAATGACAGAACACAGCAGCCTCGATAACTGTTCCACAAACTGATTAGTGGGATGGAGGCTTCCTGATGGGGAACAGACAAGTATGGACCAGTACGGAGCTACGGTTGTGGGCTAGAGACTTTTTCATGCTGGGCAGACAGATGACTGGGGTGTGTGTGTAGCCGTGTCAACAGTGTGGCCCCCACATCACAGCCTCTGTCCCTCCCCAGCCCCCTGTGAGCAGCTAGGATAGCATGTGGGCAGTGACTTTGCACAGTGCTGCCCTACCGGTGCTTGGAGAAGGGACAAGCTGCTGACCTTTTGAAGCTACAGAAGGAGCCCTTGCATACCCCCTCGGTGGCTCAGGATAAGCCATGCTCCCCTCTGAGGCAGAGAGCAGGACTCCCATGCGATGCTGAGATCAGCTTGTGAGGGCTTTTTGTTTGTAACTGTTAAGTGGACCCATGTAGGGGAACAAGAAAAATTCAAATACTTGGTAGATAACACCTCTACGTGTTTTCAAAGGTCCAAATGTTATGTCCAGAGCCTCTCTTTGCAATTCTAATTAACCTCAGGGTTGCAACCATGGATCTACCGTATAGAATTCAGAAAATATGCAAAAACGGCGCTTTTCTTCCCCCACTCCCCAAATGCCGTTCCAAATCCTTCCTGTTAGTTTTAAGAAATATTTACATGTTATTGCCAGGCACCGCACACTTTATCTTTGTCTCAAGACAATGAGATTCAGTCCACATGTGTCCGTGACGGTGTCCGGGGCTCTGTGCTCTCGGTACCCTGTGTGAGCCTGACTCCTGGGGGAGAGGCAGAGCCCCGCCCGCCTGGGGGAACTTCCTCCTCTGCCTCTCAAACACTTTTTAGTCAATAAGATCATTGAATTGTGGCCCATTTTCCAGCTTGATCCAGCAGAATGCAGATTTGGAAATGCAGAATAAGGTTAAAATACATTGTTCCAAGAAACCTGGACCAGAACTGCCAAAGCCTGGTTCTCAGGGAGTGTAGATGGATGTATCTCCTTTAATCCTTGCACCCTATATATATACCATTATTATTCCTATTTTACAGATAGGCAAAGTGGGGCTTGGAAAGGCTAGACTATTGGTTGAAGGTCCTAGGTCCTAGGTCCTAGTGATGAAACTGGGATTCAAATCTACTCCAAAGAGTAGACACTTACACTGTATATATTACCTCAAATTCATCCATTCAAGTACTCACCACTCAGGAAGTTCTTTCTTGTATTAAGCTGAAGTCTGCTGCCCTGTAACTTCTATCCACTGTTCTCTGGAAAAGCTTAGACTATGCCTGCTGCTTCTATGTTTATGAAATCAGCTGTAATATCCCTTCTTCAACATATCATTTCCCATATGACTTGGTTTCCAGAGTCCCTTGTCTTGGGTTCCCACTGCCCATCCATCTGCCCATCTTGCCGTGTTCTTTCTAAGATGCAGGTAGGTGTTTTCTGTGAAGGGAAACCATTCGCGAGATCCAGACAAACAATTGTATTAAAATAATCTATGTATGAGTTATTCCTTTGAGGACTTGTATCACACTGCTGGCTCATATTAACTTTGTGGTTAACTAAAATCTCAGGATCTTTTTATGTGATCCTGAGAAAGTTAGTTAACTTCTCTGACCCTCAGTTTCCTCAACTGAGAAGTGGAGTTATCAATAACTTCCATGTGAGGTGGATGAAGGTATTGCATGAGACAACACAGGTAAGGGAGCTAGCAGTGCCCAACATGTGGTGGATTCTCGTCTGTGGCAGATTCTACAACACGCATAGTAACAGTTTGCAGGCTTCTCTCTGTGTGTCTCTGTCTCTGCTTTGGCCTAATGTTAGCAGCTAGCCATGATAAGTGTGTTAGTGGTCTTTGCATGCTAGTTTCTGTAACACAGTCGAGGATAACAAGGGGCTGGGGCATGAGTGGGTGGTGAGGCGTGGGCAAAGGTAGCCCAACTCTTTCAAGGTTAGCTTAGAAGGAAGGAGAGGTAGAGCCTAGTGGAATACTGGACTGAGGCAGGCTTGTTTTTGTTTTGTTTTAAGGATAGGAAAGATCTGAGTGTGTTTCTAGGATAAAGAGAAGGAGAAAAACAGAGAGTGAAGGTTCAGGAAATGGGGAAAACACTGATGAAACAAAGACCTGAAGAGGGTGGCAGGAACAGGGTCAAGGTCGCAGGTAGAGGGCAAGCCTTGGATAAGAGGAAGGAGTTTGTTTCTCTGAGCAAGGAGAGGAAGAAGAAAGGCAGACTCAGAGCAGTACCACCAGGCTGTGCTGCTGGTTGCACAAGTAACCTCCGACTTTCTTAACACTATCCCTGTTTACGTGTTCAGAGGCAAGAGACACCACCTTGGGTTCTGGAAAGACAATGACCAGAATTTTCTACTGTATTCTGTGGTAAGAGGAGACGTTCAGAATGATCAGATGTACACTTAAGCCCGGGGTAGCTGATGGAATCTCTGCGGTGAGCTTCAACATGACAGTGAGAGGAGACACACATCCTCATGCCCAGCTGGCTTTGAAGCCCCAGCTGCGCTGCTCCCCAGCAGAGTGACTCTGAGGAGGTTGTTTAACATCGCTGAGCTGCTGTGGCCTTGTCATCACTGCCCACTTCTCTGTTGAGTTGGTGCAAGGCCCTATCAGGGAATATATGTCGAGTGCCTCCAGAAGTGCCTGGAGTGTGGTAGATCCCCTCACACAAGTCAGCCCTATAGCTGTGCTCCAGATGGGCATGTTCCTTGGGAAGGAATGTACTTTTGTGAAAAAGAAAACCGCAAAAGGCTTTTATTCATTTAAACAATTGATAAGGCATCTTTTCATGTCTTTTTGAGGAAGCTAATATGAAGTTGATGTAAAGGAACCTTGTGAGCGGATACCTGACAATCACACTTTTCCCTTTTTCCCTCTTGAAATAGGAGTAAAGGAATAAAATAGAGAGACCCTCATGCTCCACCCCCACCATCCAGTCCCTAGACAAACCCTCCGGATTCTGTCTCTTCGGCATCTCTCGCACCCCACAGACCGCAGCCATCACCCTAGTCGGCTCCCTCCTATCTTTTCCTCTATCCTGGGTCTCACCCCTCTAAACACGCACACACTGAAGACAGTGGCTTTCTGATTATGCCATTCCTCAGCCGACACTTGTCTATAACTCCTCGTTGCTCTCAAGATGGAAATAAATTCTGAATTTCTTAACATGGCTCTCAAGGTCACAGTCACACTGCTAAACCCAGTGGGCACTTCTCAACGATCATCTTCTTCAGGCCTTGACTCACTTGTCTTCTCCTTGAGGCTCGCTCTGTACACCCCATCGAGCACTTCCAACGGACCCTTACAGTGCTCTGCTTTCGCTTTTGTCTGTAGCTCGGCACTGTGTAGTTTTAATTTATGTATTTTGTTTACTGTGTAAGGTCTGTCTCCTCCTCGTCTATCCTCGCCAGAACATGAGTTCCTCAGGCCAAGGCTCTTTGTGTGTTTTGTTCTCAGATGCAAGCTAAGTGTCTGCCACATTCCAAGTGATAATAGATAAATGTCATTGAAAGAACAATTCACCACCTACCTCTTTGGCCTTGTTTGTAATTCTACAGGGTTCTACTCCCCATTCTCCCCCAACCCACCCCATAAGCTGGTCATTTCTTGACCCTAGACAGTTTTTACCACTGGACCTTTGCATATTCCATCCCACTAGAGTGAAGTCATCTCCTCTGTTGTCCCCTGCCCCCTCCATGTGCTTGGCTAATTCCTACTTGTTCTTCAGATTTTGTCGTAGGTGTTACTTCCTCTAGGAATCCCTCTGTGACCCAAATGCTGAATTCAGGTGCCTCCTTTCACCCTCTGTAGCACTGTGTCCTCACCCAATCTCATCTCGGCATGAATCACTGTAGTGTAATTTCTGCTTTATTTGTTTGTCTATTTCCTGTGATCCGTGAAAGTGGGGACTATGTCTTGCTCACTATTGCATCACCAAACCAAATGCAGTGATTAGTAGGGAGTAGCTGCTGAAGAAGCTTTTGCTAACTGACATTTGATGGAGTACATTTAAGGCTGTTTGGAGGTCAAGTCAAGGAAACATTTAACATTCTAGTAAAATAATGGGATAACAGGCTCATGAACGTGCCCGTTATAAACCAAATCCAAACTTTTCCCTCTGGCAGCATTCTTCGCCCACAAGGTGGAGCATGAAAGCAAGACTCAGAATGGGCGGAGCTTCCAGAGGACCGGAACACTTGCCTTTGAGAGGGTTTACACTGCCAAGTGAGTCCAAACCCTGACACTGCTGACTGACAGAATGAGGGCGTGAGCACAGGGGCCTCACTACTGGAGTGATGACCATCTTCAAGACCACATGTCTGTCTGGGCTAACCTTCAGAAGGCCAGGGAGGTGGGGTTCCCTGGGAAGGTTGAACTTCACCTTGGGGGGCCTTGTGGACACCCTTTATCATCTCAGTAAGTGCTAGTGCTAAAAGAAAGGAAGTGGGGATATGGGATGGGGGGAGGCGAGATTGCTGCAGCTCCCCCTTGCTCCAGAAACCTCTGAGCCAGTCCTTCAGTCTCGGAGTTGACCAATTTCCTGCGGGGTTCTTCCAGAAGTACCACCATGAAACCAGCCATTACTTGTCTGCCGGCTTCAGAAGCAACAGGCAGGACATGCTGGCAACAGCCTTCAACCCACTGCCCCTTCGCGTTCCTCTTGGTGAAAGACTGGAGGTGACGCCAGTATGTTTCATAATGCCCGGTCTCCTTGAGCAACCAGAACAAGAACAGAAAGAATGGGGGTATTATGCAATTCATTCCCCCTCTCATCCCTTACTTTTGAATAAAAAAGCTGTTTGAAAATACCTGAACAGCTCAGTGAAGGAGATGGATGCTATTTGGGAGGCAAATTCGAATGGATGTTAATCAAACACTCATTTTTCCTCTATGCAGAGTGATTTAAATAGAGGGTTCATGCCAGTGGCCTGTCTGCCTGCTTCCCTGTGCCTGTGACTAGAGGCCTGTCAGAAAGGAAGGCTTTGGCTATGAGCTGGCAAGGGAGCTGGCCTTGAATCTCGGCTCAGAGGTGTCCGCAGAGATCCTTTCAAAGGGAGAGTCATGGCCACACAAGAGCAGTACTTTTAGAATGGCAAGGACAGGACAAGCAAACACAGGGATGAGGATTCACACTGAAGGGTCTGGGTTCTGTGCCCCTGCTGGCTCTGTGGGAGCCACTGGGAGGAAGGGTCCATGTTCAGGGGTACCGTTGGCTTCCTGTGAATTAACCTGACTTCAAGGGATCTCAACTGGACAGGGCTTCATCACACTCACCAGCGTGCTTTCTCTTCAGTCTCTTCCTCATCTAGGTACTTTTTATTTTTGAAATGAAGCATGGGTGTGCGGAAGATGGAGGGAGAGTCTTCTCCATTGCCGCTTTTCATCATTGGCCCCTTTTGTCCTGAAGCTTCTAATTGCTGCGTGCCTGGTCCAAACAACTCATGGACACGCTTACAGGATAGTCACAGGCTGATTTCCTGGTCTCCTCACCCTCTCTGGGACTGTTGCCTTTTTTGGGCTCAGTGCTTCAGGCTGCCCTTGGGTGCTTATGGTCCCTGGGGCACCCCATCCAGACCTTCTTCTCTAGAGCCCACCCCACCTGCCCTGGGTCCTGCTCCCTCATACTGAGCACTGCTGTGCAGGGTTGTTCCGGCAGTCTGATCTCAAGGAAATCCTTTCCTGAACGACTTATAGGGAGATTTCTATTTTAACACTTGGGCCTTCAGTGTGTTAATTCTCAGAATCAACTGAAGAAGTTAAAAGATGTGATTTAAGGTATTTTAGACCCATTTAAAGGAGGATAGGGAAAGTATGTAAGGTGCCATCAACCTTTCTGTGACATTTGCGGGGGGAGATGCGAGAGCTCCCTTCAGACACTTCTGTGTGCGAGAAGTGCGAAGAGGGCGTCTTTGATCAGGGCGATGTCCAAACCTCTGAAAACAGAATCCAAAGAACATGAATACTCTTCCACCAATTTGGAAAGAGAAGCTTCTTCCGCCAGATCACTACATTCTCGCCAGTCACAGTGCCTTCTTCTGAACTCCTCAGCTCGTCCATTTGGAGAAGATGGGCAGGGCGGCCGTGCGGTGGAATTTCACTGTCACTTGTGAGAAGTTAAGTTTCCATTTTGCTGGCAATGAAGAGGAAATGGAGCAGGCCAGGCCATCTAGTTCCTGCCACGTCCCCGGGAGTGACCTAGCTCTGCTTCTGAGAAGCCCCCGCGCTTCACCTGGCCCCGCTGCGGGCCTCCGAATTGCAGAAGTGCCGTCTGGTGGTGGTTGCGCTGCGTCATTTGGAGGGGTGGTTGGAAGTTCTGTAATGGTGTGGGGTTCCTGAGGTAAGAAGGAGCTAGAGGAGAGTGGTGGGCGATCAGTGTGGCCCAGGCGTCCTCGCTGTGTGGGCACTGCAGCCCACCTCCCAAAACCCACATATCTTTCCCGCTTAACCCCCATGAGAGGGGAAGGAGGACAATGCGGATAGGAGAGCGAGCTGTGGAGAGGTAGGAACTGAGGGGGAAGAGGAGAGTTTTCTGTAAGATAGAGGTTGCCTAGACACTGCTGTGGTACCGTTACAAAGACCACTTCCTCCCTGACCCAGCTAACAGTGCTATGGATGTGCCTGTCGTGGGTTGTAGAAGGGGCTGGAGATCAATGCGGCAGCCTCCAAAGCTACAAAAGCCAGAGGCCTCTGGTCTGCCTGCCTCTGTAGAGAAGATGCTGGGAAGGGGTTATGTGTTAGTCCAGTAGAAAGTGATCTCGGCGATAGCTTCACCAAGGGCTTCCAAGGGCACCAAACAGGGGGTCAAGGTGAGCCATGGGGGGGCAAGAAGAGAAGAACATGTGTTTAATCTTGCTATCTAAAAAATAAGACATTAAGCTTTACTCGCTTTTAATATACAGATTGAGAGTAGTGTGTATATATAATTTATACAGAGATACACCTGTCATAGGGTTGCATGCTCAAAACTTGCTTGATGGGGTGTGAGATCATAAATGTTTAGGGGCTGTGGCCATAAAGGAAAACTAGCATAAAGGATAAGTGATGCTGGTGGATTGAAAAGCCTGATGCATATTTTTCAGCATAAAATATGACTGTTGACTGATACAGACAGGTCGAGATTTTGGGGTGGTTGATAGACAGACATCTCAGCCAGGAGTGGCCATCAGCTCAGACTTGGCCTTGGTTAACGGTCTGCCCCACCCCTCCACCTCCTACTAGGGCAGGGCTGAGTCAGGGTTTGAGAGATAAAAGGAATCTCCATCTTGACTCTCTGTTCATGTGTATAAAACAAAGTTCAAAGCCCCGTTTCTAGCTGATGAGCATGGCTAGAGCAATCAAAGTTCAACTTTTGGAGAAAAATCTCAGTTACCTGACCTAAGGTTCTTCTCCACGAGTGCAGATAAGCACAGGTGCCAGAGAGGTGGATCTCTGGAGATGTGTAATTTTCTCAAATGTGTCCATAGATTACAAATTCGTGGGCTGTTAACAGGTGTCAGAGGGAAGAACAAGTTCTGTAAAGCAAGACTTGAGAACATTTAATGTCCCAAGGGACACCGTAATTCTTGGCTCTCCAAGAAGGCAAGATCTTATTTAACTAAAGACCTCCCTCACCATTTTTTTGCAGAGGGTATCAAGGGTTTAGTGTTTCACAAAATGCATTTTGGGAAATGCCACCCTGATGTCCCTTCTCCCCTGTACCTCTCAGAATCCACTCTAGACTCACTCCAACTAGCATGGACTTGTCAAATTATTTGAAGGTGATAGACCTACATTGATTTTATTGATTAGTATTGATACTATGACTATTATTAGTGATATTTACTTATTTCAAATTAACCCAAACTAAGTAGCAAAAGATTAATTAAGTGCTTCTATATCTCATTCCCAAAGGTGGGGGAAAGTGAAAGGGAAAATAGCAACGCGTCCTTTTTTCCATAAAAATGTTGATAGTGTGGTGCATCAGAGTGAACGTAGCACAGGGAATTGTTGTGAGATCTGGGGAGTAGCTCATAGACCTCCAGAAATGAGAGTCAAAATGGGTTTGTCAGTTTTGTCTTGCAGAAAAAACAGCACAGGGCCGGCCCCGAGGCTTAGCGGTTAAGTGTGCGCGCTCTGCTACTGGCGGCCCGGGTTTGGAACCCCGGGCGCGCACCGACGCACCGCTTCTCCGGCCATGCTGAGGCCGCGTCCCACATGCAGCAACTAGAAGGATGTGCACCTATGACATACAGCTATCTACTGGGGCTTTGGGGGAATAAAAGGAGGAGGATTGGCAATAGACGTTAGCTCAGAGCCGGTCTTCCTCAGCAAAAAGAGGAGGATTAGCATGGATGTTAGCTCAGGGCTGATCTTCCTAAAAAAAAAAAAAAAAAAAAGAAAGAAAAGAAAAAACAGCACAAAACTCTCCACAAAAGAAAATATGAAATAATAATAGTTTGTTAGTACGATGGTTAACATTTGTAAATATACTGTCAATATGTGGCAACGTACGGTGCATTAGACCATCAACTCTTAGAGCTTAAGTGGATCTTAGAGTCATTAGTGATCAGTATCTTAGTTTTACAGGTAAGGAAACTAAGTCCAGAGAGATTGCTTTGCCAGTGACAAACAGCTGCTTAAGGTCGGGTCAGGGATGAAGTCCTGGTCACGTGCCCTTTCCCCTCTATTGCATTGCCCCGCATCCTTGCATGCCTCCATGTCTCGTGTTGTTTTTCCATGGATGTGGATATTGCTTGTCCTGATCCAGACTGTAAAGTCCTCAAGATGACACTCACTATTGGTTTAGTATAGTCGAAGAGGTAGCAGACCTGGTTTTAGAGTCAGACTGACCAGCGTGTGCATCCTGGCTTTGTTACTCCGTAGCTGGGTGACCCTGGGCAAGTTCTGCAACTTCTCCAAGCCTCAGCTTCTCATCTGAAACAGGAGAGTAATTGTGGTAGGCAGAATAACAACCCCCCCAAAGATGTTCACATCCGAATCACCGGAACCTGTGAATAGGTTATGTTACAGGGCAAGGGTGAATTAAGGTTGCTATCTAGTTGACTTTAAAATAAAGAGATTATCCTGGATTATCTAGGCAGAAACCAATGTAATCTCAAGGGTCATGTAAATGTGGAAGAAGGAGGCAGAAGAGTTGGTGTCGAAGTGATTCAATGTAAGAAAGACTTGGTCAGCCGTTGCTGGCTTTGAGGTCGGAAGCGGGTCATGAGCCAAGGCATGCACGTGAGCTCTAGAAGCTGGGAAAGGCAAGGAAATGGATTCTTCCCCAGAGTCGCCAGAAGGAATGCAGCCATGCTGACACCTTGCTTTTAGCCCAATGAGACCGATTTCAGACTTCTGACCTCCAGATAACAAATTGGTCTTGTCTTAAGCCACTAAGTTTGTGGCTACTTGATACAGCAGCCATAGGACACTCATGCAGTCAGCATGTGTACTCACAGGATTACAGTGAGTTTAAAGGAGACGCAAGAGTAAAACACCAGCACGGTGCCTGGTGCAGACTGAGAGCCCCTCCACGGGCGAGGACTGAGCTCTGCACACAGCGGTCACTCTCAGCAAGATAACTTTCTGAGCGTCAGCTTTTCTGAATTGACCCTGGTTTCTCTAATGCTTGAAGCACCCCTTTCCTTGCTCAGCCTGGCCTGTGGGTCTGCGCTGACCTGTGTGTCTGACACAAGGTTTCCTTAGTGGGCTCTTTCCCCCGCCTCCCCACCCCCGGACTGCAGCCACAACCCTGCTGTCTGCGTTGCTCACTTTTCAATTCCAAGGAGTGCTGTGGCACAGCCAGGAGCAGGAAGCTTGCCAAAGCAAATCCATCAAGAAAACAAGTCTCTGATCAGCTTCACGGAAGAGCGTAAATGGATTCTGAACGTGTGTTCGCCTTACACCACTGTCTGTTTCTGATGTGGCGGCTGGCTGCCGCATCTTATTGGGTGGATGTAAGTGGAATTAGGAATGGGGTTTGTGCCCCATGTGCCATAGTGATTATTAATTTGGGGTTTCAGGTGGTTTTCAGATTACACTACAGTAACATGTTTTCTGATTTTTCTTCTCCTTATTTATTTATTCTGCAGCCAAAACTGCGTAGATGCGTATCCCACCTTCCTTGTCATGCTCTGGAGTGCCGGGCTACTCTGCAGCCAAGGTAACTTAGGCTTCTCTTTGTGTGTTCTCTTTCTGAAATATGCATCTTGAGGAGGTTCAAGTGCAGGCTTTTTGTTGAAAAGACTTTGCCCTGACCTCCAGCTCGGATCTGTGAAGCCCTGGAGAGGTGAGAACCCTGGGGAGGTGGTGTTTCAGGCATGCTCTGTGCCCGTGCAGAGTGGTGTGATAATGCATTGCTAATGCTTGCTCCCTGGTGGCTGGTTGAGAGCTGCTGCACTGACAAGGGTGGTTTAAAGCTAAATGTGACTCAGAATCCTTAAGCATGTTAGCTCAGATACAAGGGCATTATAAATGAGAGTGCCTGAGGGATCTATTCTGGGACTGCTGTCAGTTGGCTCTTCTGCTAATAAGCTTCCAGGGTGGCAGTCCTCCTTCGGGCTGTGTCCGTAGAGCCACGGGCTGGATTCCAGTCTCCAGCCTTCCCAGGTTATCAGCAGCCCACAGTCTTGACTTCAGCAAGTTGATTCCCAGAGTTGATTTAAAATTGAATGGAAACCAGAAGCATGTTTTTTCGTCCCCTTTGGAGATTGGCACTGTGTCTGGTGGAGGCTCAGCACGACCCGGCCAGCTTCCATGCTGTGGTCCAGCAGGGTGCATAAGAAAAGGCCATTAGTGGCCTCTGATGAACTGTTTAGTCCCATCATCTTCTCCCACTTTATGGTAGGCAGTATATAGTAGGTAGAATGGATATTATTTCCCCTTATTATCTTTGAGGACGCTTTGGTTCAACAAGACAAAGTAACTTGTTCAAGGTTACTCAGCTGGTGAATAACAGAGCCAGGATGAGAGCCCAGGTCTTTTGGGCTAAATCCTGGATTTTTCACAAGTATCCTTTTACTTTAGTCATTTATATAATATGTATACATTGTACACATACAATGTGACAAGCCCTGTGCTTGGATGCACAATGATAAAGGAAAAGAGACGGTGGTGAAGCACATGGCAGTTGGCGAGATGAACCACAGAAAACAAGTGAATGGATAAATTCTTGCTGAGAGTGAGCAGTGCCAGGAGGGAAAAGAATAAAGTGCAGTGATAGAGAACAGAGGTGAGGGGTGGCAGCAGAAACCACTTCAGGGACACCATGTGGCCTCCTTATGTGCTCCGTAAGGCTGTCAGTAGCTCACTATTTATTTTCCAGTTTCTATCCTGAGTTAAATAAGAAACATGTCTGGCATTACTTGAAAAATGAAGTCCAACCATGCTCGTGCTAGGAGTGATTCCTTTTATGTCCTAGATGATACTCGATGCAGATGCATCTAGAGTTGCTCCAGCTAAATAAACACAAAGGGAGTTTGAAGGTGTTTCAGAGCCCTGGAAATATGCATTTCCTGCCCAAACAAGTGTTGTCACTGCCAGGGGACAAAGTGTCAGTAAACCCCGGTGATAATCCTCATTTCTCAGGAATATCGTAGATTGCAGAATTTTTTAGCTGAAAGGCACCCCAGAGATCATTCTAGCCCAAACCCTTTACTTTACAGAGCAGGAGCCCAAGCCGCAGAGGGCCAAGTGGCTTGCTCACACTTCAGAATTTTAGAGCCCAGATTTGAACCCATGACACCCCTCCTGCTATTCCACGCAGCCCAGATCCACACAGGAGGCACGCACCGTTCCCTGCCTGAGGGCAATGAGGGCAGCCTTTTCCACCCCTGATTTCTACTAGCTCGTGTTCAACTTAGTTCTCCTTGAAAGACAGTTGTCCAGTAAGTTAAAGCAGAGCCATCCACATGGAACAAAGCAGAAAAAACTGGTGTCCAAGGCAACCTGTGAACTGTGACAATTTTGTGACTTTCAGAGAATAGGATGAACCTCACAGCAGTTTCTCTTGTGCTTCGCTTTTCTTATCTGCCACAAAACACGACTATTTGGGAGGCAGGGTGGGGTTGTGGAAAGAACAGGGTCTTGGGCACTGAGGACTGGAGGCAGTTCCGGGGACACTCACTGCTGGTGTTGAGACCCCGGGCTGTTACTCAGCTTTCCCAGGACTCAGTTTCCTCATTTGTAAAACAGGACCACTCTCTCCCTAATGGTGCTCCCAGGATGATTCAGTGCGATAATGTGCATAAAGCCCCTGGCACAGTGCTTGGCGTATATCAGATCAAACCGTGTAAAACTGCTAATATCTGACTGTTTATGACCCACAAAAATGGCACTTTCATAGAGTTCAACCTAACAATAGAAGCCCAGTAAAGGTTATTATTGGTGACGCTGGTGGTGGTGATAAAGTTTTGACATCAGACAGACCTGGTTTCAAATTCCATCTCCTCCTTGGCCCACCTGTCTGACATTTATTCATTTATTCATTGGACAAATGTTTTTTGAAAGCCAACATGTGCCAGGCACTATGCCAGGCACAGAGATGATGGCCAGCAGAACGTGGCTGTCTTCATGGGTCTTTTGGTCTGGGGGGTGACTCTGGGCAAACAGACTTCCTTGAACCTGATTTCCTCACCTGTCAAATGGTGACCTTACTGTGCTCCTTATCAGGTGGCAGGGAGGACCAGAGAGCCCAAGTCCCCAAAGTGCCCGAGGCAGTGCCAGGAGTAGAAAGTGCTCAGTGCTCGCAGTTAATTTGGTATTTGAATAATGCTGACAAGTGCTTTCATACTCGTGCCCCTGTTTCACCCGCACAATAATTCCTCCTAGGTAGGAAAGCTGCCATCAGCCCTTTGTGAGATGTGGACCGAGTTAAGTGTTAGCTCCAGATTGTCATAGTCCTGGTGGAATGGGGTTTTCTAACTTTCAGCTCCAAGCCTTCAGGACTCTGTAGAATTATCTGGGTGCTGCTCGTGGCTGTTCCTCGCAGGGTTAGAATGCAAAGGGAATCTCCTTCCCTAGAGGTCTTTTCTGAATGGCAGCAATTGTCCAGAAAAGCTTAAGCCTTGTGCTGCCTTGAGGCTCACAGATGAGGGCTATACTTTTAAGAAAACCAGCCTCAGAGCTGGGCTCTGGGTTCACATTTGGCTCCCTCCCCACCCCCACACTTAGAGCTGACAGCCTTGCACAAGTCTGCGACCAATTGAGCCCAAGTTTCCACGGGCTTCCAAGTTTCTATCTGGAAATAGAAAAGATGATCCTGGTCACGTGGGAAGGGTTCTAATTAGAGGATGGATGTGAAACACTTTGTCAACTATACCATGATGCCAATATAGGGTAACATTACCATTATTAAAGTTCTCAGGTTTCTTCCAGCCCTAGGCTTTCTGCTGAACCTCACATCACCCCTGACTGTCAGAAGAGGAGGCCTCTGCTCAATTTTGTGACCAACATTAGTTGCCTAACGACTGTATGAATATTGCATTAACTTAGTGCGTTTTGGCATCTACGAAACTAATCCAGGCATTTTCCTTTCTCTGCTTAGTTCCTGCCGCCTTCGCTGGAATGATGTACCTGTTCGTGAGGCAAAAGTACTTTGTGGGCTATCTGGGAGAGAGAACGCAGAGGTAGGCCACTGGGACTGTTTAAGACCCACAGAGTGAGTCACGCTTTTTGAGCAGGAAGAGTGGTAATTCACAACAATACGCTGCCTAGCATTTAAGGCTCTGGGGGACCACTTGGAGTGGGAGGGTGAAGGCTGATGAGGATCCCTCATTCTTTTCTCTCTGAACTTGGCGGGCTCTGAAAATACAGTTGGGGGACTTGACTAGTTTTTCCATTTAAAAAATTCCTCCACATAGCGTTGGGCTCACAAAGGTGCTTTAATGCCCTGCACTGCACATTCCTTACAGCTCCACACCCTCTACTCCCACTCTTCGGAGTCTGGGGCTTGAATGACTTTCTATGTCTGGCTTCCCAAGGCCTCGGGTGAGTGAAACATTTCATTGTTGGCCTAGAGAAATGAGAACTAAAGCTTGCACCTTGTGATAAGTTCTCTTGAGTGACGGATCTTCCGGGGACCAGCAGAAAGAATGTTGAGAAAATAAGGTGCAATAACAGGCAACGCATGGAGTCTGTGAATAGAGTCACTGTTGCATTGCTTCTAGATGTTGCCAGACAGAAAGCCCCAAAGCAGCAATTATACTTTCATTACACCTGGATTGGGAAATCTGGATTTTAACAAAATAAATGACGATACCTATAGAAGGAATGTTCAAGTTACAGTATGCCACCAGTTCCTCAGAGATCAGAATTCTTAATGTACCAGAAGGGCTCTGAGAGCCAGGAATATGTCCCAGGAGGCTGCCGCCCATACGCTGACCCCAGCCTTCCCCACCATTTTTCTCCTTGTCTAGTTTCACATCCCTCTCTGTCTTTTACAATAGCATCCTTCTCTAGTGGTTAATGGGCTCTCCGTTTAGACAGCATCCTTCAACGGGGACAAAGGCAGTGGCATCCCAGGAGGTCGGCGGGTGAAAGCTCTACATCTGGGGAACCTGGGAGCCTGCGAAGCTAAATGACTTACGGTGGTTCGATGGAGAGCTGCGGCCGGGGGAAGAAGGACTCTTCTCACAGCAATTCTTCCTCTGTGCTCATCTCTTCTTCGGTTCTCTCTGGTCGTATTCTTATTTATTCTCTAAAACCACAATTCCATTCTCTCTCTTATCCTTATCAACACTGTCCTAAATGATATTCTTTATTCTCTTTTACCCTGGAAAACCTCTATTCTGCCTTTCCCCGGGGACTTACCTGTTGTCAAGGGTTGAGGGGGGCGGAGTGTCTATCAATGAAATAAGGGGGTTCTGCTCTCTCGGGCTGGCGCCCTATGCAGCCCCATCTCCCTCCCCCAGAGTCCCAGGGATTCGGCCTAGTCACTGTTCTTCTCTTCATCTGTCACCACTTGCCTGAGATCTCAAAGTGGGGCATGACAATCTATGGGGCATGACAAAATTTGCCGTTTACCCACAGGCTGTGTTCATTTTAAAGATAAGCACTACTAGGGAATGAACAGAGGTGGCAAAAATAAACAAAAGGATATAGACTTAAAATCTTAAAAATATTACATTTCTCTGGACCTCATTGAAACGTAAATGGCCTAACCTCTTAAATCCCTCCCTGGGCTCCCCCATTAGATGGTAGTAAGAAGATCCCACCAGCCCCTTTACCCACTATCTGTGCTGGTTCTAGACTCTCCTCACCTCTCCTGCATCCATGGCATTCAGTACTAATCAGTCATGGTGCTCTTTCCCGCTGAGACCAAACGTGGCCTCACAGTACTTCACACAATTCTGTGCGATTGTCATGCATAGAAATGATACATACTAGATGAAATGTCTAATCCTGATCTAGACCAAAATATAGCCTAAGGTAGATGCAAGCCTGAGGGGCCCTGTGGTTACATCCAAGGAGATTTTCAATTCAGCCTTCTAGAAACTACTTGCTAATACCCTCTTCTGTTATGGACTCCCCTCTTTTGCATGCCCCACCTCTGTCCCCGGGCTGTGTCACACTTCGACTCTGCAGACACCTTAATGCCCTGATGCACAGGGATCTGCTTCAGTCCTTGGCCTCACCAGCCAAGGAAGATACTGCTCAGTGAGATCTTCACCCAGAATTTCTCCCTTGGGCTCTAGATCATCTTTAAGTCCTCCCCAGAAGTTGCTTTGGCCCTGTCCACTTCAGAAGTTCCAGAGTCAGTTTTGGTCCAGTGGGGAGGTAAGACATCCCTTGATGTATCTCCCCTACCGAAGCTTCTGCCTCCAGGCTTCCGGCTGCCCTGCAAGGATTTTGCAGCTTCCTCCTTTATTCCTCCCAGAAGTTTATGGCTCTTATTCTCAGTCTCTCCTCCTACTCCCTAACCCCTTTCTCCCCATCATCTGTGGCATCCTTAGCCACACAGAAGTTAAGGATGAATCTTAGCTTCTTCCTCTTTCATTCTAAACTACTATCTGGGCCCAAACTCAATGGCAGTTGGCATTATACTACTAGACTATTTGTCTTTTCTCGTCTACCTTCACCAGTGGGCACGGGGTTCTCTCTCTTCCTGACCCTCAGGGCCCTGTCTCCTATTGGAGCTCCCACTGAATTCCTCTTTGCAGTTTGACGTTCTCAGCTCAGTGGAGGGCAGGAAAAGGTTGGCGACTCTTTGCACCAATGAACTCAGGTTACCCAACTCCCCCTTCTCCTCATTGCTTGCTCACGCCTCATTCACTCAGCATCCATTCAGTAAATGTTTACTAACCTCCTGTTCTGAGCCAGGTACTGTGTCAGTTGCTGAGGTGATAACAACAAACATGACAGAGCCCTTGCCCTTGGGGAGACCTGGGGATCTCCTAGAGTCAGGACACAGTGCAAGACCAAAAATGTCGAACTTATAGAAATAATAATGGACACGATTTTCAAAAGAACTGATCCCTTGTAGTCATTTCCCTCTGAGTGTCAATATTTTAGAGGCTCTGGGCCCTCCCCAGTTGTGGACCATGGGGTTACTTCACCAGAGTGAGAGGATGAGCTTACTTCTTGGGGAACCCCTGGGTGGTACGGGTATCAAGGCTGGTGCTTCTAAAGTGAAATCTGCCGGCCAGCTGCACCAGAATCGCCTGGGGTGCTTATCAAAAATACAGATTACTGGGCCCCACCCTGGTCTTATAGAGTCAGCATCTCTGGGGTGGGGGCCCAGAAGTTGTTGCATTTCAACAACTTCTTCAGGTGATTCTTACACACACCGAGTTTGGGAATCACTGTTCATGCCTCTTTGCTGAGAACGATTCACTCATTTGACCAAAATTTGTGGAGGGCCTGATTTTTGGAGATATGTGGGTGAACGAAGGAGGCAATACCTTGCTCTCACCGATCTTACCATTTTTAATCCCTTTAGAAGTCACCAGGTTTAAAGTGGTATTTCCTTATTGGAAAGAATAGAATTGTAAAGCCAGAAGGGACCATAAAGTTTTCTGTTCCTACCTGTGTTTTGTGTCCATTTTTGTGAGGGCGGGGGAGGGTCAGAGACATGGCCAAGGCCACACAGCAGTGAGCAGGGCAGGACCTCGGGTGTCTTGCTGCCTGGGCTCACCTCTCTCACCACAGCTCCTCTTCCTAGAAGGTTTGGGCACATTCCAGATGGGAATTGTCTGTCAGATGCCTCATTTACGTTTCCATGTAGGTTTTATGCTGTGTGTGTGTTGGGGGGCACATTTGTGTCAGAACAAATAACCAAATCCTAGTCTCCAAAATCCGGAGGAGTCCTCAGGGTGGTAGAAAGAGCAGGACTCCGGCCTCACACAGTCAGGTTTGAATTCCCACTCTGCCTCTTCCTGGCTGCGTGACTTTAGGCAAGTCACTCAACCTGTCTGTCTCTATTTCTCCCCCTGGAAAATAGGTTAATAATACCTCACACAATGGTTTTGAGAATTAACTGAAGTCACAGTGGAGCGCGCACACTTAGCCGCTAAGCCACGGGGCCGGCCCGATGCTTAATAGTTTAATTCTGACGTTCCCAACCCCATTTAGAGAGAACTACATATCAGCTTTTAGAAACAATGAGAGAGGTCTTGATTCTCAAAGTCTAATTAGGCAGTGCGTGAACCGTCCAGGTCCCTCGCTCGTCCTTCTGGGCTTTCCCTCATTTCAGGTTCTCGGGCTGTGCCTGAGCCTGGGACAGGCTCTTCATGTGCCCACTGTGCCCACCTCCCAGGGCCGTAGCCCATCTCCATGGTGGAGAGACTTAAAAATGCCCCTACTGACGTGCCTGAGCTGGGGCCCCCGTGCACACTTAGCCCTGCACGGGATGGCTGTGCACTGAGTTCTTGCCTCCCCCCCGCTTTGCACGCCCTGGGAAGATTAAAGCACCACAGACCTGTCTCCTTTTGGGGCGATGTGCCTTGAGTCCTTTGAGAGATCCTGCCCAAATTCAAGAATACCACCATTTCCTCAGGAGGCACTGCCATTTCACTCTTCACTGCAGGCCTATCTCGAGCATGCTCTGAAACAGCTTCACACATCACTTTTTCTTGTTTCTGTAATGAGCATATGGTGACCTCATTCATGTGATAAATCTGAGCCACCACAATAGTTGACTTTTCACAATTTAATTTCTCTGAACCCTCTATTCTCTGACTGAAAAATAGACTCCTGTACTTTCTTTTCACTTCCTTACCAGCATTAGCAGGTAACTCTCTGTATTGATCTGCTCAGGCCACCATAACAAAGTGCCACAGACTGGGTGGCGTAAACAACAGAAATTTACTGTCTCACAGTTCTGGAGGCTGCAGGTCCCACATCAAGGTGCTGGCAGCCTTGGTTTCTTCTGAGGCGTCTCTCCTTGGTTTGTAGATGGCCACCTTCTCCCTGTGTCCCCACATGGTCTTCCCTCTGTGTGTATCTGTGTCCAAACCTTCTCTTCTTATAGGGACAATGGTCATATGGAGGCAGGGTCCACCATAGTGACCTCTTTTTATCTTAAAAAGACCCTATCTCCAAATACAGTCACATTCAGAGGGACTGAGGTTTAGGACTTCAACATAGGAATCTGAGGGGACACAATTCAGCCCATAACACTCTCTTTGGGGACCCATTTTTTTCCCCTGTAAAGAGATAGAATGTCTCACTTCATGAGCATGACTGTGAATAGGAAACCAAGGAGAGAAGAAACAGCTGGCCAAGGAGCAGGGGCGGCATCAGCGAGCACTGCTTCTCCAACATGAATGTACCTGTGAGTCACGGAGGGAGCTTGTCAGAATGCAGATTCGGATCCAGTAGATCCAGGAAAGGACCTGAGATCCTGTGTTTCTAACAAGCCCCTGGTGCATGGCAATGCTGCAGGTCCACGGACCACACTTTGAGTAGCAAGGAGGTTGATGCTCCATTGCTGAATGACTTTCAGACTCTTGACACAGGAAAATTATGAGTCACATTATGAACTTTCGGGATCCCTTTCAAAAAGTTAAAATTTCCAGTGTTAAACCTGTGGGTGCCAAATTCTGCTGTCTCTGATTATAGCAAGAGACAGGCTCAGCTGCACTTGCTCACCTGTTGAGCTGAGCTGGCTGTTCTTGTTGAGTGGTCCTGGTTGCCAAAGCGTCCCCTTGCCAGTGTCTTTACTGACAGCCTTAAGGAGCCATTTGACTGGACTTTCCAAACACACTAGCGCCACACAGGTGGACCCAGCCACCGCAGTCGCAGAAGGATTCTGCAGAGGGAGGGAGGAAGCCAGGGCAGCCGCTATGCACAATTAGGCAGTCACATATCACTGGGGAAATGCCTGCTGACCCCAGCTGATGACCTGCCTAAGCGGCTTAGGATTTAGAGCCCTTGAGAGAAGGATATGAATGTCCTAAAAAGTCTCTCTCCCTCCATTCACTTAAAATGTAAGGGCTTGTCCTCCAGGGCTGGGGCCCAGCTCTCATTAGAGTGAGCCTGAGTTATTCTCAGGCAGCCTCAGGAGAATAGATTGAGCTCTCAGATGGCAAGATTTTAGATTCCACCAGCCTTATTGGCTCATGTAAATCATCACTTCTCTCATAGAGGTACTCAAAGTCCTGCGTTATACACGCAGCTGCCAGCACGGCTCTTATAGGGGCTCCTGGAGAGGAGCAGCCATTAAGAGAGGGTCTTAATGAGTCCATGGAGTTCCTAGTCCGCGGTCAGAATGCCTGATGACCAACAGAACCCACTGCCTTCACACCATCGAGGAGCAGACTTCAGAAGGAAATGAGGAGCTCACAGAGAAGCCTCACAGCAGAGCCCTGACGAGGACGGCTTTGAGGGCCAGGCTCTTTTAGCTTGGTTTTGAAATATGTTCAATGACTAATAATAGCCAAGACGTTTCCATCCTTCATATGAAGTAAATGGAGCATTCTTGAGTAAAAGGAGCTATAATTTAAACCCCATGTATCTCAAAGTGATAATATTTTTTGTTAAATTGGTGTCATTGTGCTGCTTCCACAGTTTTCTCCTTCCTTCTTTTTCAGCACACCTGGCTACATATTTGGGAAACGCATCATACTGTTCCTGTTCCTCATGTCCCTTGCTGGAATATTCAACTATTACCTCATCCTCTTTTTCGGAAGTGACTTTGAAAACTACATAAAGACGATAACCACCACCATCTCCCCTCTGCTTCTCATTCCCTAACTCTCTGCTGAATGCAGGGCTGGTGCTCTCATCTAATCGATAACTAAAGTCATCATAACTCAGCTCTGTAAAGGATGCGGCTCCTCTTTAGATAGCTGTAAATCTAATGACCATCTGGGCTTCGCAGCTTAAGTTAACGTTGCTTTTCCTGGAAGAAAGTAACTTGGTGGTAGCTCCACCTCTTGAAAATGGCAGTGGCCCCAGATTTGCTAATCAGATCCATTCTGTGTGTTTCTTGACTTATCCTGCTTTCTGAAGATGTTTTGGGACCAGCTTTATGTTTTCTTAAAATAAAATGCAGCCTAAAATAATGTTTAGGCTGGTGGTTGAGTTTTTTGTTGGTCTATTGCTATAGCTGAACAACTGGTTTGTTTTTCTCCACCTAAATCATGATAATAAACAATACACCATCCTTACACACACACACACATGCCCGGAAGGGTATTCACCAAAACATTAACTGTGATTATCTCTAGGGAAGAGATTTGGGATGAGTTCTACTCTCTTGTTTATATTTTTATGTATTATTTGGAATGTCTTCATGAGCAAATAAATGGCACTAAACAGCTGAGGCATTGCCCTTTCCAGGAAGCCTTGCCTAACTCCAGTTGGGTCTAGTGTTGCCCTCCGACCTCCTGTAGAACCCTCTGCACATCTCAGCCACAGCAAATCCATATGACAGTGGAAAGATGTTTATTAGTATGTGTTGCCCTACCCACGAAATCATCAGCTCTTGAATCTCCCTGATATCCTATTTATTTTGCTTTTCCTTTGCCGAGGTCAGAGATGGCATGTTGCAGATACCCAATGACTGAAACTATTTGAGAACTAATCAAACTTCCTGTAAAGTGATGTATTGTAGGGGACAGTAGGTCTGAGTTTTATGAGATTAAGATGTGGGTTTTTTCCCCAATGTTTTTAATGAGATAAATAATTGCGGAGAAATGCAAAAAACAAACAAACAAAAACAGAGCACTCTCCTTCCTGTAGACAGACAGACTGCCTTAAGAATCTTTGGTCGACTGTGCACCAGCTTACACACCCCCCGGAGGATTAGGTTGAGATCTTTATGTGTGAGCATCATGCCCAACACTCATCATATAATTGAGTTTAAAGTGTGCTGTAACTCAGTGTCAGAGCCTAGGATAATGCTAGGCCCATCATAGGTGCCCCCAAAATTGGTTGAACAAATGAACAAATGAATGAATGAGTTCATGAATCGCTGGCAGGAAGTATTTAATAAAATATGTGTTTTGAGCCGTTTTCCCATATTGTGGACAGATTCGTAGTGGTCCAACCGCGGTCATACCTAGCGTCCCTTGGCACAAAGAGCACAGTTTGGAAGATAGCTGGGTGTGGTCAAGAGTCCAGGACACCCGACAGAGAGAGGCCAGCTCCCACAGGGGAGTCAGCTCATCAGGACTGAGCTCTCAGTTGAGGTGCCCAGCAGGAGATGAGACTCCTTTACCCCCCACTGAGTCTCATGATGGTCACAGTCCTTGGAAGGATGAGGCGAATCCAAGGGCCAAACCTCCCCCAATCTTCTCTGAGTTACCTGCTTGGGGAGCAGAGTGAATGGAAACATGGAGTCTGGCCTGTGTGACATCTGGATCAATATGCTTCATGTGTGATGCTCGAGGCAAGCAGATCTCCCAATGCAAGGGGAAAGCCCCCACGTGGACATGGTTTACTAGGCCTGTCTGATGGTCCAGCCTGAAGCCTCGCCCGGGCTTTCACTGCCAAACCCCATCAGCAGGAGCTCCTTTGCACCAATTGCTTCAGTAGAGCTGCTTCTGCTCTTAGCTCTCTATAGCCAGCAAGACTCTTGTATCCTGGCCGGGTATTTCCTTTCTTCTCGGTGATAGGAAAGGTCACGGCAAGCTGCAGGCTGGAAGTGGTCCCTGGGCCTTCCTCAGCCTGGGTCAGTTTGGAGGATGGTAGGGTGATCAACCATCCCACTTTGCCTGGGACGAGGGGTTTCCTAGGAGATGGGGTTTTCAGTTTTAAAATTGAGGCAGTCCTGGGAAAACCAGGATGCGTTGGTCACCCTAAGAGTGGGCTAGGACAGAATATACCCAGTGGAGCCTGGGGACACCTTAGCTCCCAGAGCTGACCATGGGACCTCCAGAGTGCAAAGATAGGAAATGTGATGGCCTGTCAGGGGCTCTGCCCGCTGGGCTGGGCAGATACTGAGTGACTGAGGGCTCTCAGGGGCTAAGATGCGGGTAGAGCAGTCTTCATAATCATGAAGAAGAGGGTCTCGGGTCCCGAGCTCCTGCAGGAGGGCTCCTCCTCTAATTGGAGGGGGCGTTGCATAGTGGCCAAACGCTCTGTCTTCAGAGTTCCAGGCCTGGGCTGAATCCCTGCTCCATCACGTCCTTAGTTCTCTGACTCCTCCCTAAGCCTCAGTTTCTTCATGTGTTAAATTGGGATAATAATATTGCTAAATTTATGGGGTTATTCTGAAGGATAATAAGATAGAGCAATTGAAAATATTTAGCATGTTAAGTGCTGAATATTATTATTATCTCTTATTGCTATATTTATTGGTTACCGTTATGTGCCTTAGTTATTATCTTTATTATTTTATTATCTTTATTATATTTATTATTGTTATCTTATTGTATTTGTTTTCTATTGCTGCACAACAAATTTCCACAAACTTAGCAGCTTAAAACTACAGACATTTGCCATCTCCCAGTTCCCGTGGGTCAGAGGTCTTCACGGCCGAGCCGGGTCCTCTGCTCAGGGTCCCACCAGGCTGTAATCGAGGTGTCGGCCGGACCTGCCATCTCAGCCGGGTTCAGGGTTCTTGTCCAGGCTCATGGGTTGTTGGCAGAACCCAGTTCTTTGTGGTTGTAGAATGAAAGCCCTCAGCTCCTGGAAGCCCCTTCCCTGACACGTGGCCTTCTCCACAACATGGCAGCTTACTTCTTTAAGGCCAATAGAGAGCATCTTTGGTGCTTTTTTCATCTCTGACCTCTGGACCCACTTTTACAGGGCTCACCTGATTAGGTCAGGCCCACCCAGGGCAAGCTCCCCTTTGATTAACTTAAAGTCAACTGATTTGGGACCTTGTTACATCTGCAAAATACCTTGACCTTTACCTTATAATGTAACTTAGTGAAATCATATTCCAGGTCCTGCTCACACTCAAGGGGAGGGGACTGTACAGGAGTATGGGTTGTTTTAGGATTTTGACTGCCTCACTTGTCTTCCAGTCTCAGAGGAACCAAAGGGAGCTGGATAGATGGTGAAACTGTGGGTCCTCTGGGCAGGAGCAGGGTAGAGTGTGTGTGTGTGTGTGTGTGTGTGTGTTACTTTGTGCACGTGGACACCTGGTGGGGAATCTCATGAGGAAGGAGGCTGGGGTTTCCTCCAAGTACTTGAGGGCGGGGAAGCTTCTTAACTTTTTTATATCCCTTGTGGGGAACAGCGCAGTGAAAGAACAGAAGAAGCTGAAACACGTAATAAGGGAACTCCTCCCTCTCCCTCTATTGACTAAAACACGATTATTTTCATGATGAGAGTCTCCCTGGTTGTAAAGAGAGAATCTGTGCAACTGTTTTTTACATTCACCCCCTCCCCATGCCTTCCCCATCTCAATAATGTCCCACCCATCATTCAGGTGCTCAGGCCCCAAACGAAGGCGCTATCCGCCATCCCTTTCTTCTTTCCCACCCCACAGTCAACCCACTACCAAGTCCCGTCGGCTCTCCTTCAACGTCTCCCACAGCTGGCCGCTTCTCACCGTGCCCGTTGCTGTCCCTGCTGTCTGAGCTGACGTTGTCTCTCTCCTGGACAATTTCCACAGTCACCTCCATCAGGTGCTATGTCACGTGCTCTTGCTTAAAACCCGCCAGGGAATTTTCACTGCTCTTAGGGTAAACCCCAAGTGCCTTGACATGGCCCTCCAGGTCCTGTGCACTTGGGGTTGGTGCGCCTTCCTCTCCGCTCTCCTCCCCTTTGCTGGCTCAGCTCCGCCCACCACGCTGGTCCTGGTGCTGCTCACTCTAATGCTGTGCTCTCCTCCCAGACTGCTCTGTAGCTCCCTCCCTCCTTTCATTCAGGGTCTGCCAATGGTCACCTCCTCACAGAGCCCTCTAAGACCACCACGTCATGTCTACGTAGAAGCCCTCCACCCCACCCACCGTCTCCTACCCTTCCTTACTTTTTCTTCTGTATTACCACCACCTGATATTACACCACTTATCTACCCCTTTCCTCGTTTCCTGTCTGTCTTCTCCACCGGGATGTAAGCTTCAAAAGGGCAGGGGTTTTGCCTGTATTGTTTATCGCTCCATCCCCAGGGCCAAGAACAGCGCTGGGCATGTCATCGGGGCTCGAGACACACGTGAGTCACGGACAGAATAGGCTGAGTTGCAGGATGGTGTTACAGGGTTTATGTGACCGTGTGGTGGAGGCTGTGGTTGTGGTGGTCATGGCTACAAGGCTATGAGCAAATTTGGGACAGGGAGCCTAACAGATGTTCTCAATTTTAGTAAGCAAAGCTCCAGCTATGGAACCTGCTAAAAAATGCAAACCTCGTAGCGCCACCCCCAGAGGTATTTGGTAGGTCATGGACGGGGCCCGGAAATTCACGTTCTTAGTAGGACGCTCAGGCCTTTTCAGCTGCGGGGGGTTGCAGACCAGCCTTTCGGAAGCTTCTTGCTCCAGAGCTGTACCATGCACTGTGGTAACTACTAGCCACACCTGGCTGCTGAGCTCTTGAAATGCGGCTACTCTGAGCTGACATGTGCTGTAAATGTAAAATGCACACCAGATTTTAAAGACTTAATACAAAAAAAGTAAAGTATCTTGTTAATAATATTTTATATGGATTACACATTGAAATAATAATCTTGTGGATATATTGTGTTAAAATGTATTCTTAGAATCAATTCACCTTTCTCTTTGTACTTTTATTAATGTGACTACTAGAAAATTTTAGATTACATATGTAGCTTGCATTACATTTCTATTGGACAGCACCAATCTAGAAGTTTTGTGGGAGCCAGCAAGGCCTCACAGCTGAGATAAATGCCAGACCTCACCCTCAGCACTTACCTCGAGGTATGATTTCTTACAGATGATATTGAAAAATGTGCAGATGGAAATTACCACAAGGAGCACACTAGTCCTGTCTAAATCTGGAAAGTAGTTCTTTGAAGCTTGTTACCATATGATCACGAGAGTGTTTCATTAAGTATTTCTGATCACAGATGTGGCATATTATTGAAATATCATTTTTACGGTTACCCTAGAGGCGAGGGTTATCTGAATATGGAAAGAGAAACAGCTTGTGGAGCTGTTGTATAAATG